CGCGGGCTCAGCCAACACGGGTGCCAACAGCGTCGCGAGCTGGTCTGCCGCGTCCAAGCACGTGTCACGCTGGCGGCCGCGGAACGTCTCCTCAGGAATCACGGGGAGAGACGAGTGAGCAAGAACCTGGATCAGCAGCAACGCGTGGAGGCTCTCCGCCAGTCGGTGGAGCTGGCCAAGAGTTGCTGCCGGAACTCGCGTCTGCGGAGGCTGCAGCGCCTCGGACAGAAATAGCAGCGGCGCATCAGCAGCAGCGAGGTGCGAACGCAGAGCCGCAGTGCCATCCCCAGCGGCAACAAACTCCACCCCCGAAACAGGCGGAACCGGGGGCAACTGCAGGCGTGACCCAGGAGCAGGCGCCGAGACGGAAGGAGACGGAGCAGACGGGACGAGGACAGAGGAAGGAAGTAGACCGGTCGGCGGAGGGACGGCAGGAGACACAGGCGGACGAGGAGCCTCGGGAGCCGGCGCAGCCCGCGACGAACTGCTCTGGCCTTGCGCCGCCCTCTCCTCGCGAACGGCCCGGGACACCTCCCGCTGAAGATCGGCCATCGTCACCGGCGGGCGGTACCCCCCACCACCACCGCGCCCGCGGGGACCCCTCCAGTCCCCTTGACCACCGGGCCGAGCAGGCCAGCGAGGCCGCTCCTGGTACCGCCGGGGAGAGTCACGACGGCGACGAGACGACTTGCGTTCCTGAGGAGGCGAGGGGGAATGAGGGCGAGACGATCGGCAATCCGGCGACGGAAGACGAGACGGCTGCGCTGCAAGGGCCGCCTGCAGTTGAGCAGGTGCCGCCGGTTTCGCGCCAGGAGGAGCAACCACCGGAGCAGGGGAGACAGTGGTGGTGGACACCGCCCTCGGGGAAGAAGAAGACGGCGGCGCAGACACGCCGGGAACAGACACGGCCGGGACAACGACCGCGCCAAGTGCAGGGGCAGGCATTGCAGCAGCCACCCCAGCAGACAGAGAAGCCTCCGCTGCCACCACGAGGGCAGGGAGCACGGGAGCCGCAGGCGGAGCAGACGGGCCAGCCGCTGCCACGCCTTGCGGAGCCACGGGTGCGTGGAGAGGAGTCCTTTCAGAGACTGTTGTCCCGGCGTTCGGAGCAGGCGGTAGAGGGGGTTTCGTCGCCGTGGTCCCCTTTTCGAGTCCCGACTGAGGCCTGGCGACGACAGCCGACCAGGCGACAACGCGCTCTGGCGACGGCTCATCAGCTCCGGCAATCACCACCATCTCGGACGCGAGGAGCACGCGGGACGAACCACGTAGCAGGAAGCGGAGTCGGCGGGGGCCCAGAGAACGGATACCAAGCAGCAGCACGTGTGGCTTTAAACAACCTACAATCAGCAGACGAAGACGACGAGAGAATGGACCCCTCTTATAGGAGAGACGCCACGCCGGATAGCGAGGATGAAGGGGAGGAGGAAAGGGACGGGATGAGGGTGAGCTCTGGGAGAAGAGAAGCCGGGGCCAGGATAGCACGAGCACAACCGCTCCAGGAGGCACGCACGCCGCACGATGCTGATCGGACGGTAGAGCCTCCAACATTCGCCTCACCAGCGGGACCGAGTCAGGCCCGGCGAAATCGGGCCGCGAGTAGGGGGGCTGCACCACGACAGGCCGCTTCGGCCCCCCGCTATTTTTCGTCTGAGGAACTGGCGAAGCGAACAGACCTGTTCGCTGCGGTAGGGGATTGGGATGTCGCAGCTTTGAGCGATAGTCGTCAGCCCCCGCTGTCGCGGCGCTTACCGCCAAACCTGTGTCAGCTGTTCTCGCTAGTGTTACTGACGCCGTTACAGCATCTCTCCCGAAACCCGGAGTCGGAAACAGGTTGGCGTCTGTTGCTATTTCTCCCGCGCCTGACCCTTCGCCAAACCTCGCCGCAACGACCGGACTGGCCGAAAGTCAAGGCCCGGCTGCGAGCCTTCCAACGTGGCGAATGGGAGCAACTGTACCTGGACACGATTGCTGCAGTCAACGCGCCACCCCCGCCCCGGCACAGGCCAGACGTGACGGGAGTAATCAAACGGGCCGAAGGGCTGGCGAAACGTGGCAGCCTACGACGAGCCGTTCTTGCATTGGAGTCAACGCCTGTCTGCACGCCCAGCCCCGAAATCTTGGATGAACTGCGCCAAAAGCACCCACCAGCTGTCGACGAAGAGGTGATCTGGTCGACACCGCAGAAGTCAACGATTTCCATCACCCACGCGGATTTCGCTAAGCTGTTGGGCAGGTGCGAAAATGGAGTTGGAGCTGGGCCGTCGGGAATGACATTTGAGCATTTGCGCGACTCGGCGATAACAAATGCGCTGGTCAGCACCCATCTGCACGCCCTGGCTAACACAATTCTGGGAGGCAATTTGCCAGACACGGTGGCGAATTTGTTAACCGCGTCGCGCCTCATTGCCTTGGCCAAACCAGGGGGGGGCGCTCGGCCAATCGCGATTGGCGAATGCCTGACGAGGCTAGCAGCCAAGGCAGCCCTGCTGGCAATGGGGGAAGCAGCTCGCGAATTCTTCCTTCCTCTACAGTACGGCGTGGCAGTGCCAGGTGGCGCCGAGACAGTGATCCACGCGGCCAGGGCTTTCTTGGACGCTCGCCCCGACAGCCTCGTGCTGCAAGCAGACATCAGGAACGCATTCAACAGTATCTCGCGAAAAGCCATCGCCACCGCGTTACAAACCCCCACCCTCTCGCCGCTGCTGCCGCTCGTCAAGTTCACGTACGGTAACCCATCGCAGCTGATCCTAGATGCAACCTTCGATTCCGAACCACTGCGAAGCGAACGCGGTGTTCGCCAGGGGGACCCACTAGGCCCGCTGCTATTCGCAGCTGGAATACATGCCACGCTTTGCGATACGGCGGACACACACCCCGGGGTACTGTGTTTGGCGTATGCGGATGACGTGACGTTCATCGGGGAACAAAGAGACACTGTAGCAGCATTTTCGTACTTCACCGACAAATTGTCACTCCTGGGGCTTGAGCACAACCCACGAAAATGTGCTGCGTGGAGCTCCAGTACGATACAAGCACCGCACTTACCCACCGGAGTGCCGTTTTCAAACGACGGCGTCCAGCTACTGGGCAGTTTCCTTGGACCGGACGACGACGCCGCTTCTTTTCTGGCGGAGCAGTTGGCTGACATGGCGAAGCCGTTGAGGCTCATCGAATGAACGGATCCCCAGGTCGCATCACTACTTATCACGCGATGCATATCGAGGCGTGTCGCGTACTTGACCCGGACGACGCCCCTGAATCTTCTACCCCGCGACAAATGGAGCCAGTGGGGCATGGACCTCCTCACCACGCTCCTTACCGCCTGCGACATCCGCATGCCGACCAGCCATTCGGAGCAGACGAGGGTTTGGGAGCAAGCGTCACTGCCGCCGTCATTAGGAGGGCTAGGCATCACGAACCCCTTGATTGAGGGGGTCTACGGTTTCGCCGCGAGCTTCACCCAGGCGGCGCTGTTTCTCAACGACCTCACGCTATGCGATGGGAATGCACTGAAGCAGGCATGGGACCACATGCTCATACCGCGGGATACCAGCATGCGCCTTCACGTTTGGGTGAAGGGGTGCGAGGAAGCGCTGCCGACAGACGCCCGGGAGATACTGGAAAAGGAGCGGTTGGAGCGATCGGACATACGTCTCCAACACGTCCTCGGGCTGCAAGTGCACGGCAGCAGATACGCCGTACAGGTCCAGGCAACCAGGCACATGCGATTGAACCCACTCTCCGGCCACACTCAGCGCATGTTTTCGCTGACGGGGTACGGCACCGGTGATTGGCTGACCGCGATACCTATCGAAGCGACTAGGCGGATGGGCCCCGTCCACTTCGCTAACTCCATCAAATTCCGCCTAGCTCTCCCCTTCTCGACTCCTAAGAATTGTGACTGCGCGGACAAAACGGCTATCACTGACCCCCGTCTGCCGAACCATCTCCTGCGCTGCGGTTTGGGCAAACACCGCATTAACAGTCACAACGAGCTGCGGGATGCATGCATCAGCATGGCGCAGCACGCAGGTTTCATTGTCCACAGCGAGTCGGCCGCTCATTGCCCCATCGAGGAACAAACCGCCGACTTCACCATGACGGATCGTAGCAGTGGGGCGGTATATGTGTGTGATGTCACTATCACGGATCCCATAAGCACGAGGGACCCAGAGGCGCAGAAAGGCAGGGGATGGGCGGCACGGGAACAAGCGGATAAGAAGATCCAGCACTACGCCAACCGGCCGGAGACGGTTGGCTTTTTCCCTCTGGCGGTCGACACCTATGGCTGCCCATGCGCGGAAGTACCCACCTTCCTGAAGCTGTTGGCAGATACGGCGGCTCGGCGGCACTTCAACGCCGACTCAAAATCATACTATGCCGCAAAGTTTCTACATCAGTTTCGACAAAGATGGTCGGTGGCCCTTCAAAGGGCCCAATCTGTGGGCCTCCTGATGAAGATGGGCGAGGCGGCTGCAGCTGAGAACCCACCTGTGGGCGGCATTGGGCAGGAGTTGCACCTTGGAGATTGTTTTGCAGTGATAGAGCCCCTCCTAGACCTTTAGGGGGGGGGGTTTAGGGTAGGATTTGCCTTTGTGTGTATGCCTCTATACCCTGCATGCTTGTACCTGGCGGCCACATCAATACAAGGACCATTAGAGAGAGAGAGAGAGAGAGAGAGAGAGAGAGAGAGAGAGAGAGAGAGAGAGAGAGAGAGAGAGAGAGAGAGAGAGAGAGGGATAGCCTAGTTCAGTCCTTAGCCGTTTTTAGACCTTCTCCCCTAGGATCTAGTCCTTAGCCGTTTTTAGAGTACTCCCCCTAGTATAAAGCCCCTAAACCTATCCCTGTGAGCTCATTCTTCACTGGTGAGTCTAGTTCACTCTCCAAAACCGGCGGCAAGGAAATTCCAATGACATGATTCATAATAGCATTCGATACAACATGCAGTGGTAGGGCCCTACAGCAAAAGCAACACCCCCGGGCGTGCCTACACCGCCATGGGGAAGCCCAAGGCTAAACACGCTGGGAAGGGGGAAAGCAGAGGGGACAAGCCGGCTACTCGGAGAGTATCCAGCACAGCCTCCCGTCCATCCAGCGTAGGACGGATGCGGCGGCTGATACAAGACCAAGAGGGGCCCCCTGCGCAGACTCAGCAAGCCGCAGCATTGCCCCAGGGCCGGGCCCGAGCGCAGCACCAGGGGCGCCCTGGACAAGCCCGATCAGGGGGAGATAATGCAGCATCTCCCTTGCGGCAGACACCGCCGCTGACTGCTCCGACGACAACATCCCCCCAACCTCCACACCCTGCCGCGCCAGACACACATGGAGTTGGTCCAGCACGTAGGATAGCAACGTCAAACACGTCCCCACGTGCATCACGCGCTGCTCGACGTGGAAAGGAGTCGCTGCCACATGCGCGGCAACATGAGGATTCTGTGGAACGTGTGGGAATAACTGCACATCGGGAGGCGCCGGAGGAACAGGAGACGACGGGGGGCGAGGCGGCTGAGGCCGAGGCGGCAGGGGGAAGTGGCGCAATGGGGTCTGAGACAGAGGTGGCCGCGACGGTTGAGGATGCAGCTGCTGCGGGGCTGGAGGGGGTTGCTGCTGAGGCGACTGAGACGACGGCTGCTGCTGAGCCTGGCGGGCCTGACGCTGCCTCTGGCGGCGGCTCAGCCTCACCCTCTCCCATCCCCCAGGCACGGCAACCGGGGGAGACGGGACCACCAGTGGCTCAGGAACCGACCGTGGCGGTGGAGCTGACGGCGTCACCGGAGCCTGTAACGGCGTCTGCACCGGCTGCGGTGGCGACTGCGGCGACAGGGGAACAGGGCGGAGCCCGGACCGAGGAGGACGCGCCGGTCGCCGGTGCGGACGCCGAAACCTCTGTAGCTGCCGAGGGCGCAAACACGCAGGGACACGACCTGGGGGGGAGCGGTAGACAGGGCCGCGGAGCTGTCGGGACTGCCGGCGCCGCCCGCGGGAAAATGGCGCCTCGAGCCCGGCCAGCACCGAGGCGGCCCGGAGCAGGGCTGGGACTTGGTCCCCCGGGACCCCTCCTGGGCTGGCTTCTGCAAGGGCAGTTGCCACAAGGGCAAGAGCGTCATTTGCCATCTGCGGGAACAAGTGACGGGAGAGGGGAAGCAAGCGACGGGATCAGGCCCACACCCACACCGACCATTGTGACAGGGAACAGGAGGGCGGACCCTGCAATGCAACAACCCCCGCGTCAAGAATTGCGGAACTCGACGGGCGGAGAGGAGGGAACGACCACGGCTGCCGCCACGGCTCAACAGACTCCTCGGCGCGAAACCCGCAGTGCCACGAGGGCGCACTGCATCACCTGGGGCCAGCCAAGGGCTGGCCAGGCAACGCCGATGGTGACACCGTGGATCCCGGCGGGAGCACCGCAACGGGCGGGCCGAGTCGAGCAGAACACCTGCCTTCGGGGGGGAGAAATGGCCCGCAGAGCAAGGGGAGGAGTGCGAGGGGCCAGAAGGGGACTCAGCGGGAGAGGCCCAATTGTCGGCGGAAGGGCCGCGCTCGTGAGAACAGGAACGTGGCGGGAACGCCACGAGCGACCGGAGCAAGCGGAGCATACACCGAATCAAAACGACGAAGCTGATGAAAACACCGATGAGGGGGGTGATTATGTAGCTGAGTCGGCGGAACCATCGGAGGAAATCTCGTTGGAGGAGGAGGAGGGAACACACATGACAAGAACAACTGGGGAGCGAAGGAGAACCCAGAACAATGGGGTAAACCCCCGGGGCGATAACCCACAGGGTGCGGGAATTGGGAACGAGGGAGCGCCAAGAGCAAGGGGGAACCCAAGTGTGGTGGGAGAAAATGGGGACGCAACCAACGAGGGACAGAGCGACTCTGGGGTCAGATCACCGTCTGACCTGGTAGAGGATTCTGCCATCTGGGAGCTGGCAGCCACGTGGGATAAATACCCACTCCAAAAAGGGGATCAACCCTTCTTGGTCCGCAGAATGCCGCCCAAGATCCTGGAAAGTTACTCGCTCTGTCTCCTGGCGCCCCTCATTCGACTCTCGAAGAATCCTGACTGCCCAGGTGCATGGGCGATCTTGCTGTATCTGCCGAGGCTGACGCTACGCCCGGCCTCCGAACCTGTTGAAGGCAGCCGGTGGACAGAAATAGAGCTGCGCCTGCACCAGTTCCAACTCGGCAGCTGGCAGGCTCTGTACACCGACGCATGTGTTATCCCCGACAATGAAAACCCGACACGACACCAGCCGGATGACGCAGGTTTATGCGCGAGGGCGGAAGGATTGATACGAAAAGGAAACATTTCCAAGGCGGTAGCAGCGTTACGAACTACACCGCTCGCGAAAGCGACGGCAGAAACATTGACTGCACTTCAAGCGAAACACCCCGCGGCCGAAACTTCGCTACCAGGACCGGTTACCGGGTTCAACCGTTCGACCCTCAGTGTATCAACAGACGAACTTCGCGAAATCTTGAAGAAATGCCCGAACGGGGTTGGAGCCGGCCCATCTGGCACCTGTTTTGAACACCTCAAGGATCCGGCACTGGCAAACGGGGAGGTGCTTATTCTACTCGCTAAGGTGGTGACGTACGTGCTGAGCACGTTTCAAACACAAACGACCCGAGATCTGCTGCTGCCATCACGGTTGATCGCTCTAGAAAAACCAGGCGGTGGAGTCCGGCCTATTGCGATAGGGGAGGCCATCCTTCGAGTTGTAGCTAAGGCGGCACTGCGTGGTTTAACCGAGAACATTAAGGCCTTTTTTCTACCAGTCCAGTTTGGGGTAGCGATACCGGGTGGCGCGGAGTGTATCGTCCACTCCGTCAGATCGCTACTGAGAGACGATGACACACGAGTAGCACTGCAGCTGGACATAGAAAACGCCTTCAACAGTGTCGAACGGGCGGCTTTCTTCAACGCTCTCTCCCATTCCAGTCTACTGCAGCTAATGCCCCTGGCCCGAACACTCTATGAGGCACCGTCGCCACTCTTGGTTGACGAGCGGTTCGGAGTGAACCAAATCCTCTCGTCACGCGGAGTGCGTCAAGGGGACCCGCTCGGTCCACTACTCTTCGCGGCAGCTATTCAACCATGCCTGCTAAGTACGGCGACCCTCCTACCGGAAGTCGCGATAGTAGCCTACGCCGACGACATAACGATCGTGGGGCCAAAGGAGGCCTGCTATGAGGCCTTTGGGGCCATTACCAGGGAGCTGAGAACACTCGGCCTCCGCTGCAACATCGCGAAATCGTCGGCCTGGGGACAGTCGTTGGCGGAAGACGGCAGCACGCCACCTCCCATCGGCCTGCAGCAGACCACCGACGGGATCCGAGTCCTAGGCAGCCCAGTAGGCGTGCCCACCTTCTGCACCACCCAAGCACAAACACGGCTTGTTGAGGCGTCGGCCCCGCTGCCCCTGGTGGCGCAGCTCCACCCGCAGAGTGCAATGCTCATCCTCACGAGGAGCATATCCCGCCGAATGTCCTACTTCCTGCGGACGACACCGGCGGAAGTCCTGGGGAGAGATGAGTGGAGGAGCTGGAGTGAGAACCTGATGGCAACGGCTCTAGCAGCAGCGAAGCTCCGAGTATCCTCAGATGAGCTGGAGAGGAGTTTGTTATGGCGCCAGGGGAGTCTGCCGATCAGGCTGGGAGGCCTGGGGATTCTTGACCCAGTCTCCGAGGCACCTGCGGCCTACATCGCCTCGGTCACAGCGGCGCAGCAGCTGCTGAGCCAGATGAACTTGCCAGAGGCCTATCTCTTGAGCAGGGCGGTCGAGCTGCTCTGCCCTGATTGGACCCCAGCCCCGCCTAGCATCAACCCCCTGACAACTCTGGAGGCCGGGCTACCCCTAGCGGCACGGGCGGCACTGCACACTTACAGGGAGCAGCCGGCGGGACAGGGGAACCTTCAACTGACCCTGTCCCGCCACATCAACGAGACGAGAGCGGCGGAGCTGCTGGCCGACACAATAGAAGACCGCCCAGGGAAGGACCGTGGGCACGCATTGCGGCTCATCAGCCTGCAAGGGGTAGGCGCGGGGGATTGGCTCCATGCCGTCCCAACGAGATCTGACCTTACTTTCGCCCCTGGTCAGTTCTCGTTGGCACTTGGCTTCCGCCTCGGAATGGCTCTGCCAGTCACAACCACCTGCCCGTGCAAGCGAGCCAACACTGTAATTACGGACACAAGCTCGGCAAACCACCTCTTACGGTGTGGGCACGGAGGAGATGTAGTCCGCACACATGATGCTCTAGTGTTTACTCTGCTCCGGATGGCAAAGGAGGCCGACTTCACGGTTTTCCACGAAACCACCGCCTTTTCCCCACCGGTGCTGAGGAAGAGAGGAGACCTGGCTATTCGGGACAAGGAGCCAAATGAGACTTGGGTCACAGACGTGACAGTGACCGACCCAGTGCTGCAGTGCCGTGACAAGCGCGCCCGGAAGCCGCCTGGATGGGCGGCACGAGAAGCCTCAGAGAAGAAACACAGGCTCTATGAGGGGCGGCCTGACTACGTGGGTTTCTTCGGGTTGGCAGTGGAAACCTACGGTGCCCTGGCTACGGATACCCAACAGTTCATCCGCTTGCTAGCAACCTCGACGGCGAAAACCAGGTTCCGCCAGGGGAGGCTCACCACCACCACTGCTCGGCTCACCGCTCACTACAGGCAGCGCTTCAGCGTTATGCTCCAGCGCTCACAGGCCTCGTCATTCCTGAACAAGTCGAACATAGGGGACGTGGCAGCCTTCTCACAGGTTGCCAGGGACCCCTGGGAACCTAGCCTAGGGGATCTCTGGCAAGTCCTGGAGGATGAGATGGATGGGGTGATGGGTCAGTGAGCGGGATAGATACTGCATGGGGTCTGGCTAAGTGTTAGCCAAATGCTTCTCTCGGATCTAGTCCTTAGCCATTTCTAGGCATGTTTCCTTAGTTTAAAGGCCCTGGATCTAGGCTAGTGAGCTCATTATTCACTGGTGAGTTAGGATCACTCTCCAAATCCGGCGGCTCGCGCCGGCCGTTGAAGGCGGCCGACGCTCGCCAGCGCGGCCTTCGGCCGCGCGTGACGTGTGACAAGGACTAGGGGGGACAAGTCTATAATGATGGAAGGCTACTACATGCACCAGTGATAATATACAACAACAAGATCACCCCCATGCAAGGAGATACCGCCATGGGGAAGCCCAAGGCCAGGCCTGTAACCAAGCAGGCAGGCACAGGGAAGAGGGCCACTACTCGGCCAGGATCCAACTCAACCGGCCGTCCATCCAGCGTAGCACGGATGCGGTAGCTGGTATCACGTCCCGTGGGGCCTTCTGGGCGGCAAGAACAAGCCGCCTCAGCGCAGCGGGACCAGGTCCCAAGGCGGCGCCAGGGGAGTCCGGGACCAGCCCAATCAAAGGCAGCATCTCCAGCATCTGCATCGCCGCTGCCACTCCCTCCTCCTGCTCCGTTGCCGACAATACCGGAGGCACCTCCCCAGGACGCATCTGCCGCAGCTGGAAAAGGTGCAGTTGGTCGAGGACCATTGCCAACAACGTCAGGCATGTCCCCACGTGCCCAACGCGCTGGGCGACGCGGTGGGCCCTGCTCCGTGGCGGGGAGCCCGGCGGCGAAATCCCCTCCGGAGACAGCGGGGGAGAGGGATCAGGACCGACAGGCGGAGGAGGAGACGATGGCAGAGTTGATGGCGGGGGCGACTGCACACCTGGAGCCTCCTCCGCCCTCAGATACCCCATCACCTCCCACGGGATTGGGATGCGCCTCCCGCCAAGAAACAGCTGCGGGCATCCCAACGGTGCCGGCGACAGAGCAACCGATGAGGAGGGCTGAGGTGCAGGAGACGTCGAGGGGCGAGGCAGCGGCGGCGGCTGCGGTGGAAAGGGGAAACGTCGCAGCGGTGACTGCGTCGGTGGAGATGGTGGGGGAAGCGGCTGCTGCCGCGGAGGTGCTAGAGGAGGTTGTGACGGCATTGGGGCGGGCTGGCAGAACTGACGCCGTTTTTGGCGGCGGCTCAACTTCACGTTCTGCCAACCACCAGGGGGCACAACAGCAGACGCTGGAGCTGGGTCTGGCGGTGGATCGGGAACCGTCCGAGGCGGCGACGTTGTCTGCGTCACCAGCGCTGGTACCGGCAGCGGTGTTGGCTGCGGCGATGACTGCTGCAACCGCGGCAGGGAACCTGGCCAACGCCCCGATCGAGGGGGAGGCATCGGTGGCCGCTGTGAGCGCCGGAACATCTGCTGCTGCCAAGGGCGCAGACACGCAGGAGCGCGACCAGGCGGCGAGCGGAAGACGGGGTCACGGGACCGGCGCCCCTGGACGCGCCGCTCACGGGAGGGGCGGGAGGAAGCTCCGTGCCCAGCCAACGCCGAGGCGGCCCGGAGCAGGGCTGGGGCCTGGCGCCCCGGGACCCCTCCGGGGCTGGAGTGAGCAAGAGCAGTCGCCACTATCGCCAGAGCGTCGACCTCCATCTGTGGGACTAGAAAGAGGGGAAGGCGACGAGGAAGCTGACGTCAAGCACATGGCAGGATACAACGCCTCGGAGGCAGCGACTACACAAGGCCCACAGCGGGAAACACGGAGCTCCACACGCTCACAAGGAATTACATGGGGCCGTCCGAGACTGGGACTGGCACACTCACCGTGGATCCAGGCGGGAAGAGCACCACAGGCCGGACGAGGGGGGCGGAACGATGAGAGCCGGACCGGGGAAGGAGCGCCGAGCCGTGGGGTCCGAGGAGGAGGACGCGGGGCAAGAGGGGGAAGAAGGGGCGGGGGCGCAATCGTCGGCGGAAGGGAGGCGCTTGTGCGATCAGAAACGTGGAGGGAACGCCACGATCGCCCGGAGCAGGAGGCGCCACCGACGAATCAGGAGGAGAGGGACAATGGGAATGGGGAGGACGGGGGGGATTATGTAGCCGAGACCCCCGAAACCTCAGAAGAGATCTCGCTAGAGGAGGAGGGAGACACTACAGGAAGAGAGAGGGGACGGAGGGAGATTGGGAGAAACCCCCAGGACAGAAACCCCGGTGCGAGAAACCCCCAGGAGAGAAACCCCCACGAAAGGGGAGAGATCGGAGTAGTGACGAGTGGGAGCCAGAGAGAAACCGGGCAACCCAACGTACAGTCACCGGCCGAGCTGGCGGCAAGTAAGGCCATCTGGCAGCAGGCAGCCACGTGGGAAGTTGCCCCACTTCAGCGGGGGGACCAACCTTTCTTGGTTCGGAGGATGCCCCCCAATATTTTGGAAAGTTACACCCTCTGCGTGCTGGCACCACTCCTACGCCTGCAGAAATTTCCCGACTGTCCAGGTGCATGGGTGATCCTGCAATTCCTCCCGAGGCTGACCTTGCGGCCCCTTCCCGAACCAGTTCAAGGAAGTCGGTGGGTTGGGATTGAGGGAAGGCTGCACCGGTTCCAGCAAGGCAGCTGGGCGGAACTTTTCGAGGAGGCTAGGGCCGTCCCCGATACGGAGAACCCGTCACGCCACCAAGCGGATGACGCTGGACTCTGTACTAGGGCGGAAGGACTTATGAAGAAGGGTAACATCTCGAAGGCAATTGCGGCATTACGCGCAACCCCACTCGCCGAGGCCACACCAGCGACAATCGCCGCGCTGCAGGCGAAACACCCCGATGCTGCATCGCCCCCGGCAATGTTCGTTTCTGGCTACACTCATTCGGAGCTGCGGGTAACACCATACGACCTTAGCGAAATACTCAAGCGATGCCCGAACGGAGTGGGAGTGAGGTACCTGCTTTGAACACCTCAAAGACCCTGCGCTCGCGAGTGAGGAGGTGCTCATACTCCTCGCGCAAACTATCAGCTACCTCCTTAGCACCTTCCAGACGCAGGCGGTCCACGATTTGCTACTGCCCTCGAGACTCATCGCTCTGGAAAAACCGGGAGGAGGCGTTAGGCCCATCGCGATAGGAGAAGCAATACTTCGCGTAGTGGCAAAGGCGGCTTTGAGGGAACTAGCACAGACCATTCGCGAATACTTCCTCCCCGTTCAGTTTGGGGTGGCAGTCACAGGCGGCGTAGATTGCATCGTCCACACAGTTCGATCTCTGCTTAAGGAGGACGAGAGCCGAGTAGCGCTACAGCTCGATATCAAGAATGCCTTCAACAATGTCGAACGGCCGGCGTTCTTTCAGGCGCTCTCGCAATCGAGCTTGTTCTCACTCCTACCCCTCGTACGCACGCTTTACGACGGCCCGTCTAGGCTTTTAGTGGACCACAAGCTGGGCGTCGATCAGATCATGAGCAACCGAGGAGCTCGCCAAGATGATCTGCTCGGTCCGCTCCTCTTCGCAACGGCAAACCAACCGACACTTTTGAGCACGGCAACGCTACTCCCCGAGGTGGCGATCGTCGCCTACGCCGACGACATCACCGTTGTGGGCCCTCGGGACGCGGCCTATGAGGCTTTCGTCACCATCACACGACGGGAGCTCCGATCGGTTGGCCTCCGCTGCAACATCGCCAAGTCCTCGGGGTGGGGACCGGATACGGAAGGGGGGAATGAGATCCCACCACCACAGGGCCTGCCCATGAACACCAACGGCATCGGAGTTTTGGGAAGCCCGTTCGGCACGCCGGAGTTTTGTACGGACAAGGCACAGACAAGCCTCACAGAAGCGGCCGCACCACTGCCCCTGATTGCTCAGCTGCACCCACAACACGCTATGCTAATACTCTCGAGGAGCATCTCCCGCAGAATATCGTACCTGCTGCGGACCACCCCGGCTACAGTGCTGGAGAGGGAGGAGTGGAGGTCGTGGAGCGAGACTCTGATGGCGACGGCCCTGGTGGCGGCAAAGCTACGGGTCCCAGCGAGTGAGCGGGAACAGAGCCTGTTGTGGCGGCAAGGAACCCTACCCGTCAGGCTGGGGGGGCTAGGCATCATCGACCCTACCTCGGAGGCACCGGCAGCCTACATCGCGTCAGTAATGGCAGCCCACACCCTACTGCGATAGATGAACCTGCCAGAGGCATACCTACTGAAGAGGGCGGTCACACGGCTCAACCATGCGTGGAGCCCTGCCCCACCTGAAGTTAACCAGCTGGCCCCAGTGGAGGCAGCCCTGCCAGCTTCAGCACGAACCGCACTACAGGCATTCAGGGAGCAGCCAGCAGGACAGGGTAACGTGCAGCTACTACTCTCCCACCACATCTATGAGAGGCGAGCAGCGGAACTACTGGCTGACACGATCAAGGACCGCCCAGGCACATACCGCGGGCACGCCATCCGCCTCATCAGCCTACAGGGGGTGGGGGCAGGGGACTCGCTACACGCTGTGCCTTCGAGAGCTGACCTTACATTTGCCCCTGGTCAGTTCTCCTTGGCGCTGGGGTTCCGCATGGGCATGTCCATGCCGGTCACTGAGAAGTGTCCCTGCAAGAGAGAGTATTCAGACATCAACGACACGAGCCTGCCAAACCATCTCCTTAGGTGCGGGTACGGGGGCGACGTCGTTAGAACGCACAACGCGCTAGTGTTTGCAGCCCTCAGGATGGCAAGGGAAGCGGACTTCACGTGCTTCCACGAGACATCATCTTTTTCCCCATCGTTCCTCAGGAAGAGGGGAGACCTGGCGATTCGAGACAGGGAGTCAAACGAGACCTGGGTTACAGACATGACAGTGAAAGACCCTGTGCTCCAGCAGCGCGACACAAGGGCACGAAAACCACCGGGGTGGGCGGCTGAGGAGGCCTCGGCTAGGAAGCACGTGAGGAGGAAACTCGGAGGAGTGAGGGGCGGCGCGCTACTGCCCCTCGACGCAGGGAACGCAGGTAGGGGCAGGCCCCGGAGGGAGGGGAGGGAGGGACCGGGGGAGACCAGGGACAAGGACACGGGAGGCCATGCCTCGGAGACGAGGCAGGGAGGGGTGACCAAGGCGGTGGTGCCAAAGGAGAGTCTGGTGGGACAGGAGACGACACGAGCAGGGAGCAGACTCAGGACCAGACCTGGACGCTGCAGCAAACGCCTGACTTGACATAGCTACTTGACCAGACTCAGCAACCGGAGGAGACTCAGTAGTCAGTGTGTACAGGCTCGACCCCGGCCGACGGGTAAACGTGGCCAAGTGTCGGCCCGTCCGAGCACACGTACAGTGGGTCACCCGCTGACTCGCAGGAGTGAACTGGTTAACCCCCCCATCCTGTAGATCAGCACCACTCACCAAGTTCGTGGAGAACGAGGGGAGGTAGAGACCTGACAGGGTGCCAGAGGGGGCTGCCGGACACGGTAAGACAGTGGAGAAGCGAGCAAGGACAGGATCCCCAGAGGGGTCCGCTAGGGAGACCACAACCGACCGACTAAGTGGCTTAAGCGTGGTGCGATCTCGAAAGAAGGAGCGGGAAGCACCCGAGTCAAGGGTAAAGGTGTGTAAGGCCTGAGCCGATGTGGTACCTGAGAGAGCAGACTCACCAGCACCTGGGGCAGCAGACGCACTAGCACCTAGAGCAGCAGCCTCACCAGCACCTAGAGCAGCAGCCTCAATGCCTGGGTCAGGCGGAACACACAGGTAACAGTCACCCTCATCACTAGTAGGCAATGCATACATGGCAGTGAGGATAGCATCATAGTCAAGTATATAGATATCTACCCGCAGCCAAAGCAGCTCCACCCAGTCGGGGAGCTCAGCCGCGTCGCCAAACTCCGTACGCCAGGCGTCGCTCAGACGGGCGAAGCAGCGGGACTCTGCGTGACCAAACGTCCCGCAAGGCTGACCAGTCCGAGCACCAGTGCGAATGACGTATGGACAGCGAGCAGTACCTCGTGACCCGCCACGCTGAGCGTACCACTCATGAAGCTGCTGGGGCGAAAGGACCGCGCACGGACGACGCTGAAGCTGCACCTGGCCACTACAAGCAGCTGCCGAACTACTTACTCCAAGACGACTCCCACTACAGCCACCCCGACAACCCCAACTAGCGTACCACTCACGAAGCTGCTGGGGCGTGAGGGACTCACGCGGACGTCGCTGGAGCTGCATCTGGCCACCGCCAGGAGCAGTAGGAGCAGTGGTAGCCGCAGTAGCAATAGCAGTAGTCGCAGCGCGGCCACCCCTATAACCCCAACTAGCGTACCACTCTCGAAGCTGTTGGGGGGTGAGGGACTCACGCGCACGGCGCTGGAACGGCATTTGGACACGCCAAGAGCAGCAGTAGACGTAGAAAGAGCAGTAGTAGCAAGAGCAGCAGTAACAGCAGTACGGGCAGGGCAGTGCTCACCAGTGGCGAGAAGGGCAGGCGTACGACGGCGGCAACGGCGAGGCCGCTACCACTGTAGGGCGAGGGCTCCGCGGCAGCTGCAGGGCGGCTGCTTAAAAGGGCGGCTGCTCCAAGGGCGGCTGGTGCAGGGGTGGCTGCTCCAGGGGCGGCTGCTGCAGTGGCGGCTGCTCCAGGGGCGGCTGCTGCAGGGGCGGCTGCTCCATGGGCGGCTGCTGCAGGGGTGGCTGCTCCAGGGGCGGCTGCTGTAGAGGCGGCTGCTCCAGGGGCGGCTGCTGCAGGGGCGGCTGCTCCAGGGGCGGCTACTGCAGGGGTGGCTGCTCCAGGGGCGGCTGTTTCAAGGGCGGCTGCTCCTGGGGCGACTGCTTCAAGGGCGGCTGCTCCAGGGGCGGCTGCTGCAGGGGAGGCTGCTCCAGGGGCAGCTGCTGCAGTGGCGGCTGCTCCAGGGGCGGCTGCTGCAGGGGCGGTTGCTCCAGGGGCGGCTGCTGCAGTGGCGGCTGCTCTAGGGGCGGCTGCTTCAAGGGCGGCTGCTGCAGTGGCGGGTGCTCCAGGGGCGGCTGCTGCAGGGGCGGCTGCTCCTGACACATTCGTTGACATTTCCGTCAGTTTTTTATTTTCTTCACACATTTGATCAATGGTTGCCCGTGCATGTACATGCACACGCATGCTTTAACATGGAATACTCAACCCATATACCACTTGGCCTCCAATGTACAGGAGCACGACGGTGCGAGGCAGCATGCTACGATGACGCGTACGAATTTGCCGTTACAAACAGAACTATTACACAGATGCGCGGTCGTCTTCGCGTGACCTTTGCGTGGTGGAGCTCATGGTCCCCTAGCAGCTTCGTTCTCTCCGTCATCGCCAAGGGTTACTGGTTGCCATGGAGCCACGGCCCACCACAACCTTTCCACAATCGCATTCATGTCGAGGCAAACACGCATGCCACGTTCACACGTACCGCCATCCAAGAACTCATAGAGACGAAAGCGGCAGTTCCGATGGCCGCAACGGAGCTTAAGTGCATAAGTCCTCTTAACGTTGTCGAGCAAAAAGACAAATGCAGGCTCATTCTTGATCTGAGGAAGGTGAACGCCAACTTGATTGTCCCCAAGTTCAAGTACGAGGGGCTCAGCCGTGTCGCCGACCTGGCGCGCGTTGGGGACTGTATGTTCTCCATTGACCTCAAATCTGGTTACCATCACATCAACATCCACCCATCGTGCTGGAAGTTCCTTGGCTTCGAATTTGATAGGCGCACACACGCATTTCGCTCACTACCATTCGGCCTCGCGATGGCTCCATTCGTCTTCACACAGCTCATGAAGCAACTAGCTCGGCGTTGGCGAGAACAAGGCATCCGAGTCGTACCTTACGTGGATGACATCTTATTTCTCTGCCGGTCGAAAGCCGATGCGCAAGCAATCTGCCAGCAGGTGATGTTGGACCTCAAAGAGGCAGGCCTTGTGATAAACGCGAAGAAATCACAACTGTCACCATCGCAACATCTCCGATTCCTGGGCG